TATCCTCACCCGAGGATATTTTTCCATTTTTTGTACAGATAGAATGGGAGGGAGAGAGAGGAAGGGAGAGAGAGAGAGAAACATCGATGTGAAGGGACACATCGAGTGGCTGCCACCCACACAACCAACCAGGGTCGGGGACAAACTGCAACCGAAGTACGTGCCCTTAGCGGGAACCGAACCCGGGTCTCTCCGGACCGCAGGCCGACGCTCTAACCGCTGAGCCAAACTGGCCAGGGCTCTTTTTCCTTGTTAATTGTTTGTCTAGATGATCTATCCAGTGATGTCAGCGGGGTGTTGAAGTTCCCTGCTATAATTGTATTGCTGTTGATTTCTCCTTTGAAGTCTTCCAGAAGATTTTAAATATATTTTGGTGCTCCTGTATTGGGTGCATACATGTTTACCAACGCTATATCTTTCTGATGGATAGATCCTTTCAATATTATGTAGTAGTCTTTTTGTGTCTAGTTATGGCTTTCATTTTGAAATCTATTTTTTATCAGATATGAGTATTGCTACCCCAGCTTCTTTTTCCTTTTCATTTGCTTGGTAGATTTTTTTTCATCTCTTCACTTTTAACCTATGTGAATCTTTTGTTGTGAGGTGGGTCTCTTGTAAACAACATATATATCATATATATGAGTCATACTTTCTTATCCAATCAGCTACTGTGTGTCTTTTTTTCGGAGCATTCAATCCATTTACATTTAAAGTGATTATTGATATGTACTTTCTTTTTTTTTTTTATCCTCACCTGAGGATATTCTTCCATTTTTTGTACAGATAGAGTGGGAGGGAGAGAGAGGAAGAGAGAGAGAGAGAGAGAGAGAGAGAGAGAGAGAGAGAGAGAAACATCGACGTGAAGGGACACATCGAGTGGCTGCCACCCGCACGACCAACCAGGGCCGGGGACAAACTGCAACCGAAGTACATGCCCTTAGCGGGAACCGAACCCGGGTCTCTCTGTACCGCAGGCCGATGCTCTAACCGCTGAGCCAAACTGGCCAGGGCGATATGTACTTATTTATTGCCATTTTTGTTTAGTGTTTTTATTTTTTCTTCCTATTTCTTCTACTAATTATAGTAGTTCGTTTAACATTTCTTACAGTGCTGGTTTGGTCCTAATATATTCCCTTAGCCTTTTTTTGTCTGGGAAGCTCTTTATTTAACTTTCTATTTTGAATGTTAGCCTTGCTGAATAGTGTAGTCTTAAATTCAGATCCTTGTTTTTTATGACCTTGATTACTTCATGCCATTCCCTTCTGGCTTGTAGTGTTTCTGTTGAGAAGTCAGATGATAGCCTTATGGGGGTCCCTTTGTAGGTAACCTGTTGCTTATCTCTTGCTGCCTTTAGGATTCTCTCTTTGTCTTTAATTTTTGGCATTTTAATGACTATGTGTCTTGTTGTGGGCCTGTTTCGGTTCTTCTTACTTGGGGCTCTTTGTGCTTCTTGAACTTGAATGTCTTTTTCCTTCACCCAGTTAGGGAAGTTTTCTGTCACTATTTCTTCACATATATTCTCTAACCGTTGCTCATTTTCTTCTTCTCGGGGACTCCTATGATGTGAATGTTATTACATTTCCAGTTGTCCCACAGTTCTCTTAAACTGTCTTTCTGTTTTTTCCTTTTGGTTTTCTGATTGGTTGATTTTTTCTACCTTGTCTTCTAATTCACTGATCCAGTCTTCAGCTTCCTCTACTCTGCTGGTTAGTCCTTCCAACATGTTCTTTATTTCTGCTATGTCATTCTTCATTTCCACTTGGTTGGTTTTCAGTGTTTCTATATCTTTACTCATGGTGTTGATGGATCCTTTCAATATTATGTAGTGGCCTTACTCAAGATCATGTCTCTGAACTCTACCTCTCGTAACTTGCTTAACTGCATTTCATTTATCTCATCTTTGGTAGAGTTCTCTTGTTCTTTCATTTGGGATTTCTTTCTTTGTTTCACCATTTTGGCTATCTCAGTGGGTTTTGGAGCCTGCCAAATTTTCCCCTTGCGTGTTAGTGTTTGGCTGTTTGTGGCTCCCTCTACTGGGTTTGGATGAGCGTGGGAGGACCCACGTTAAACACCAGTGTCAAGTCTTACTTTCCTGGGTATCAGTTAGCCTATAGCTTTTTGCCTGGAGGCTATTAGTCTCAGTTACTTGGGGCCTTGGGCTGTAGCCATCAGCTGCATGAGAAACTCCCTCAGGTGTTCAGTGTAAGAGGATTTTTAGAGAGTGGGGCAGATGCTGGTTGTTAATGAGCCTCAATTTGCATTGTTTTGGCCCAGCTTGGTGGGACTGAATCTCTGAGGGAGGGGCTGCTGCTTCTCTCCAGAGCTCCGGGAAGGAGCAAGCTGGCCACTGTCCTGGGTGGCCGTGACTCAGCAATAACTCTCTGTGCCCTCCAATTTCTGGGTGTCCCCACAGAGCTCCAGTCCAGTCTGCCCTCCCTCTGCCAGAGCCCAAGGTAAATGGTTGTAGCTAATTTAATGCTCTGACCCAGCCCTCTGTGCTGTGGAGCTGGCTTAGGATTTTAACCCTGACGGCGCTGCTCATAGCTAAGACCTCTGCTGTTCGTGGGCTTTCAGCCCACCACCCTCTGGCACCTCTGCAGACATATAAAGCTTGATTCAATGTCCCTGGTTATATGGTCCTTTCCAGCTGCTTTTCTGTTGCTTTTTCCCGAAGATTTGTCTTTATTTTAGTTGTAATTAGTTTTGCCCTGGGAGATGGTCTGTGTAGCTTCCATTCAGTCCGCTGCCATTTTTCTTCCACTTTTACCTTTTTAATCTGCAACTTTTGATAATTACTCTCATAATTTCAGATAATAAGCATATACTATTGTTTCTTGATTTATTAACTATAGAGAATATTTACTGACTTCCTATGATAATCATTGAGAATTTCTTTTTTACCCCAATTTTTTTTCTCCATTTTCCCAGTAGAAATACAATTTTCAATTAAGCCTGTACTTAGTATTTACAAAATTATGACTGTAAGTATTGTTCACTGCTGATTAAGTAATGTACAATGATTATCTGCTGTGATATGAATGTTTTTTTCTTGGAGTTAATTATTTCCTTTTCTTTCATTTACCTTATTTTCTATGCACGTACTGCTTGTCTGTCCCTATTGCATCAACAGATCTGTTCTATGCCTGGCGATCATTGTCTCATCTTCTCAAACACATCAAATATCCCATGAGTTCCTTTTTTTCTGTCCTGGAGACCTCCATAGCATGCTATCCTCTCTATCTCACCTGGACAGTGGCCTTTAGCTCAGCTGCCATGCTAGGACTTTCCTTAATCATTTTGGCTTGGAGATTGTTTTTAAGAGAATTTGATGTGATTATAACTAGAATGAAGAAGCATTAATATTTTAAAGAGAATCCTAAATTATTAATATATATAGTGCTTATATGTTCTGATTCACCAGTCCGTAAGGTCACATAAAATGATGTTATATTTGCTTTGGATGCTCAAGTTATAATGGCTCAAATCTTCCCAGTTTGAATGTAAGATCTCAGCACCACTAACTTTGCAAAGTACCCTGTGAGTTTTTCTGTGGGTTCCTAAGAGGGACTCATATGTGCTCACTACCTAGTCTACCCACAAGGCTTTTGCCATGTTCTTCCACATCTCTGACCCCAGGCCAATATGTACTGCCCTGAATGCTGTTTGAAGTATCCCTCATTCTGATAGTATCCCTCACTGTTGATGGTACCCCTCACAAGGTCAGTGTTGTATTTGCCAAGTGTGTTCTTTCCTGATTTTGCCACTTCTAAGAAAACTAGGCTTGGTGGGAACTAAAATTCCACACCACTTTCCCATCCCCCCTCCTCCATTGCTCAAAGCCCAGTGCTCACAATCTCTTTCAGCTTCTCTTCTTTGCAGTTTCCTTCTTACACACCTGCCTGTAATCCCTCTGTCCAAACCAAAAACAATTAAATTCACAACCAGCTGCTAAGCACGCATTTTATCAGGGAAAACACAAAGGTCAAAGGCTCAGAAACACATCTCAACCACTTTAATTGATTACCAAAACAGAATGTTTAACATTTATGTTCTAGTGAGTTTCTCCAGCCAGAGAGGCAGTCAGCTTTAAAGTGAGATGACATCTCTGTTCTGGAGATAGAACACTACTTGTACCTTCTGATGATGGGCCTCTTTTTCTGCTAAATAAGATTTTAAATGCCTTTGAATCTACTCTCAATCCATGTACCATGTTATTTTAGAAAACCCCAAATATTCTTTTCCTTGGGAAAATCTGGAAACCTTTTATGCACATCTGTCAGTGATAAAACAGAGTTGAAATACTATTTTAGACTTTTCACTAATCAGACTGACCTTTACACTAAAATTGTCTTAACTTGCTGGGTTAGCATTTTCAAAGGATACTTAAGGATAGAGATGCTGGCAACACACAGATCAGCTAGCAGACTAAAAGAGAGGAAAGATTTTTTCTTGTGAGATTTAAAGTATTAACATGTTGGGTTTTTGTTTGTTTGTTTGTTTGTTTTGCCAAATGAGAGAATCATTTTTGAAATGTAGGCCATGCTATTTCAGAAATAAATTTCAGGTGGTCCATTTACCTGGCTCTTTAATGTTCCAATTTTCTTTACTTAGTTGGGTTTACAATTTACCCTATCAGTAAGAGGTGGAGCCAGGATTTTAACCCAGGTCAATTTGACTTCAATTTGGTCCTTTCCTGCTTATTACATCACCATGTGTCACCTTGGATGGATACAGAAATGACCCTAAGGAAGAGGAGCTGATCTGGGGAACTCCCAGTCATGTGGATTACCTGGGATTTCCCTGGCATATATAATGGTTCCCTGGTGATACACACTCTATGGAGAAGGGTGTGCAAACAAGCTTAATTCCAAATCTCACTGTCCCTGTTCTTTCTTCAATTGCCTTTTCTTCCATCCCTTTTTTGGAGAGAGACCCAGTAACGGGTTGCTGATCCTGCACTCCGCTCTCTATATGCCATCCGAATGGCAGGCCCAGCTTACCTTTCCTATGACATCTGTTAACAGCTTGAGGGCCAGAGGATCATGAACCAAGGAGTCTGTGTAAAAGGAACCAAGGTATTCCTTTGGGTTGATTGGATTGTCCTGGGCACACAGATCCGGGCGCATGCTGAATCCATGTGAGATTCTTCCTACTGTGAAGGGGAAGGCTCCTCCTGCAAGTAAAACCCATTACTGAGGGCTTGCTTTGATTGAAAGGGATTTCGTTTGTGTGTGTTTTTAAACAAACAAACTGATTTTAGAGAGAGAGTAAGGGAGAGGGAGAAAGAGAGAGAATCATCAGTCTATTGCCTCCTGCATTGTTGCCTCCCACATGTACCCCACTGGGGATCAAACCCAGCACCTGGGTATGTGCCCTGACCAGGAATTGAACCCACAACATTTTGGTGTATGAGATGATGCTCCAACCAACTGAGCCACACTGGCCAGGGCTGAAAAGGATTTTTTGATCCTCATGTTGTGTGCAAAGAGAAGTTACTATAACCCAGCTGCTTAACAGTAGCAAAGGACCAACTGGGTTCCACATGCTGAGAGACAACCTAGGAGAAACAACATGAAGTCATCTAGAAATTCAGATTTGAGGAGTTTATCCTAAAGTGAGAAGACAAGTGTGCAAAGATATGTGGTCAAAGTTTTCAAATGTAGGGTGGTAATAATAGCAAAATATGAGGCAGTTGGGGAATACCTAAATAATGATGGCATCGCCATAAAATGTATTGCCATGCATGCAACCAGCAAGAATGATGAAGCTCCGTACTTATTGACCTAGAAAGATGTCTCTATTTGCTGGAGGGAAGGAAAGGAGATTAGAGAGCAGCATTAGAGTTTGATGGTGTGTGTATGTGTGTCCAAGAGTCACAAATTCAATTGCCTAAAGGGCCCAAACAGGAAATGTAAATGAATACAACAAGTCTATTTGTGAACAATAGTGAATGGTAGGAATTATTGCAAACTGGAGAGCTTGTAGTCTGATAAAAGAGATTTAAATAAAAGCAAAAATGGCGCCAACCAAACCAAATTTATCTGCAAAAATGGAATTTGGTACCTGAACCATCATATATTTTAAGATTAGCATGAATACCAGAAGGATGTTATGGACTGAATTGGGTTCCTCCAAAATTCATATGTTGAAGTCCTAACCCCCATTTTAACTGTGTTTGGAGATAGGCCTTTAAGGAGATAATTAAGGTTAAATGAGATCATAAAGTAGGATCCTAATCTGCTACAACAGGTGTCCTCATAAGAAGAGGAAGAAACAGTAGAGCTCTCTCTCTCTCCCCCTCTCCCCCTCTCTCCCACTCTCCCTCTCCCACATGTACCCCACTGGGGATCAAACCCAGCACCTCTCCCTCTCTCCCTCCCTCCCCTTCCCTCTCTCTTCCTCCCTCCTTCTCCTCCCTTCTTCCCCCTTCTCCCCTCTCCCTCCCTCTCTCTCTCCCCCTCCCTCTCCCTCTCCCTCTCCCTCCCTCCCCCTCCCTCTCTCTTCCTCCCTCCATCTCCCCCATTCTTCCCCCTTCTTCTCCCTTCTCCCTTCTCCCTCCTTCCCTCCCTCTCTCCCTCTCTCCCTCTCTGTGCATCACAGAGTAAAGGCCATGTGAGGACACAGTGAAAAGGTAGCTTTCTACAGTCCAGGAAGAGGGGCCTCACTAGGAACCAACCTGCTGGTACTTTGATCTTGGAACTCTAGAACTGTGAAAACATGAATGTCTGTTGTTTAAGCCACCTAGTCTGTGGTGTTTTGGTATGGCTGCTGAGCTGACCAATATGGATGGGGGTCTTACCTCCATGTGCAAAACATACTTTCAGTTTAGGAAACTTCTCAAACACTCCACCCATGATCATGGAGCAAATGGCCGTGGTGGTCTCTGCTGGCATTCCTGAAAGAGGAAACAGTCACAAGGTACAGGGCTTGTCACCTCTAGCAACAAGTTTAGTGATGCTCATGGTGGGGAACAGCAGCTTGCAGTAATTGTCAGTGCTGAGAAACTTGGGGTCCCTGTGCGAGCAGAACTATCCAGTGCTTCCTATTTGCCACTTACAGGTAGGGTCACCTTATGGCTAGAATATTCAAGGAGCCAGAGGACCTGGCTTTTGTCCTGATTTCCCCAGCTTCAGTTTTGGATGCAGTGGGGCAAGAGAGTACAATGAGTCTGGGCTGAAGCCCAACTCCTCCAATTTTTTGTTTTCTGGCCTTTGACAGGTTACTTAGAGCCCCCGAGCCTGTGCTGCTTCACCTATGAGATGGGGACGGTATTGCTCATCTTGCAAGGCTATTGTGGAGCTTGCAAAGATGATGTCGGACAGTTTTTGGCCAGAACTTCACATGGAGGCACTCAGCAAATATTAGTTGCCTCCCCATTCCTCGATTTCCTCATCTGTAAAATGGGGATAATAATGGTTAGTTCTTGCCACTTAGTAAATGATCAATAAATGTTGACTAATATTATTCCTTCCAGTTTTTTGCTACTACTTAGAGCTGATGTTGAAAATAAGTGGGTTAAAGTGAATTATTTCAAGGACTTTGTTCTCCTAGAAGTGGCTGATGCCTTTACTTGCATGGAGTCAGTCTGGGTTGCCTTTCAAATGGCTGCTTTTCATACTGTGAGTGAGAAATCTCTGGGGAATCCTCAGCTGAGCCTTGCACCTCCTGGGGAAGCCCGAATCTCTGGCTGCCTAATGGAGCTTTAGGGGATACTCATCGTGCCCCATTGCTCCATGGACAGAGATGCCCCTGGCTCCCTGACCTCTTGGGAATTCTGCAAGCACGATGGATTTGTGTCCATCAGGGAGTGGGCAGATCTTCCAGCAGGCAGGACATGAACAGCATCACTTCCTTTTGTCCTGTAATTCTGCTTCCATCAATTACTTGGACTATAACCCCACCAAAGTGGACTATTTACAGTGTAAATTGGATTATGGTCCTTTCCTACTGAGTCCTTATGCCCCCCGCCCCCCACTAGGAGTCCTTCAGCCCACTAGTGACCACCTTTGCACCCAGAAGAGAATTCTGAAATTAGCCTGTTTGTTTGTTTATGATCTGTGTACTTGTTTATTGTCTTTTTCCTCTAACCAGAACATAGGCTCCAGGAGGGCAGAGGTTTTATCCTTGGTGCTTAGTACAGAGCCTGACATGCTGGAGGAGAGCAATATCTATCTATCTATCTATCTATCTATCTATCTATCTATCTATCTATCTATCTCTATCTCTATCTCTATCTCTATCTATCATCTATCTATATCTATATCTATATCTATATCTATATCTATATCTATATCTATATCTATATCTATATCTAATCTTGCACAAATGAATGACGAAGTGATCCTTTATGCAAGTGCTGTACTCTGTTTTTCATGTGGGAAGTTGCAGTAAGTTTGTGAGACTTTGTCAAACTGTTGTGTGAATTAAGATGAGATTTTCTTTGAAGCTGGAAAGCACTGGAGCTTCTTAGGTTATCTCTCTCTACTAATTGCTGTTCAAAAATTTGGCGTGGAATGGGTAGGAAGCTGCCTTACTAAATATACTGGTCTCCAAAAACAATGCCAGGGGCATGAACTGTCAGAGCAGAAAGAGAATCCAGACCAGCTCTCTCCTTTTACAGATGCGGAACTGGGGACCCAGGAGGTGAAGTGACTTGCTATAGGTTATACGGAAAAATAGACTAGCTGGAACTGAAATTGTGTGTGTGTGTGTGTGTGTGTGTGTGTGTGTGTGTTTTACCTTCAATATATTGCTCTGGGCTGAGAAGGGAATTGATCATGGCCCCCCAAAGAAAATCCAGTGCTGCTCACCTGGGACCACTTTTCCTTGGGTTTGTGGATGAGCTGCACTTTTCACCCGTGGCCCCAGAATTCCAAATCTGTCTTTTCTTCTTCTAATTATTTTTTTTTATCAGGGATGATATGAGAGATTGGATGGGTCAAATGGAAGTCTCCCCTCTTTTCCTGTCCCTCGTGTGAAAACGAATGAACGGAGGAGGCAAAGAGCCGAAGAGAGGAGCAAGTAACAGGAAAGTTGAAAGCCTGGGTCACCTGTGATGGAGGGCCTCGCATCCTTGGGCGGGAGAAGGCAACCTTCCACTTCTGACTCCAAGGTTCTCTTTGTAAGAGTTGATGCTACTGGTGGCTTCTAAAATAATCTATTAGACAGGCATGGTTTCTTATCTTTGGAGCCTTTTTGGGAGTCTGTGTAGTGAGGTGGTTTTGGAGTCAGATTGATCTGTGTAAATTCCATTTTCACTTATTAACTTTGCGACTTTGACAACTCTCCTAACTACTCTGAGATTCAGTCCCTCCATCTATGAAATGGTGATTGTACTGTCAACCTCATAGAGTTTTGTGTGGATATGATTAAAACTAAATGAGGTAATATATATAGCACTAATCTGAGTAAGAGCTTGATCACGCACAATCTTGTTAATTATACTTTCTCTCTTTGACATAGTGTTCCACAGATAATTGGAAAGAAACAAAGATTAGATCCTCTTTCTAGACCCCCACGCTGACACAAACCTACGAGCCAAGGGAGCCAGTATTTGGCCATCCGTCCATCCATCTGCATGTCCCAGGGGTGCACGAATAGGGAACAGTTCAGCTTTTCAGCCGCCTTCAAAGAAGGAATGAGAGAGAGGCTTATTTGGATGAACAGCAGATGCAGGGTACTATTTTAGGGAATTGCTTTTCTCTGGGTCTAAATTGATCTGAATACACAAACCAAAGTATTTTTGAAGTTGTTTCCTGATCTCTATAAAAGAGTCATTGACAAACTCTGCTCCTGCTTGGAAAATAAAAAAAGGACACTTAGATTTAGCGAGGGGTTGTGGATTTACCACTGAGGTTGGTGAATTCAATATGTTGTTTGGCAAAACAAGTCACAGGAAACATCCATCATTCAAATGTTTTGACTGAGAACAAAATGCTTAAGGACTGATTTTATACCACAAATGCCGGGGAAATGTCCCCTGCTGGTTCCTTCTTGCTCTACTCTTTTGGAAGGACTGCTCAGATTGTATCTTTGGTGTCAGGACTGGAGTGTTCTCTCCCTTCCTCACTTGGAAACCTGAGGATGTAGAAAGTAAGGAAGTGATGGGTTGGGAGTCAGGGGTACAGGGCTGGCTGGAGCAGGCTGGCCTGACCCAAGCCTTCCTGCCACTCAGAGCCTGATACTGGGAGGGAATTCCTGGGGTCTGCGGGCTCACACAAAGCCTCCGGGGCCCAGCGGAGTCCCAGAACAGTCTGCTGTGAATGAAATGGCTTTAGAGAGGAAAGAGCTGTCAATGCCTCGTCAGGCATGTACTGAGATGAAGGTCATGGGCAAACCTGTTCCAGGGCCTTCTGGGAAATACAAATACCATCTGGATGGAATGACCTTTATTCAACAAAATGTTTAATTAAAAAAGTTCCCTCAATAGGCATTGAGTTTTAGTGCTTATCAAGGTTTAAAACATTTTTCTTAGCACATTTATTTTCCAAATTGGGGTGCTGGAGTGACTCATCCTACCTTTACATATTCATATGTAGGCTAACTAGTTTGATACAGTGTGACTTTTGTACATAAGCATTTTTAAATGGAGAAGCAATTCTTGGACAACAGGGGATTCTGGAAGTGACAGGCGAAAGGTAGATTGGAGAAAGGATTTTTAATTCAACAAGTTCTGGGGAGCAGAAGAGATAGAAATCTTTTAATATAAACCTGATAATGGATGCAGGCTGGAAAGAGAATATTGACTTCTTGGGGTAGTTTGGGCTTGACAAAGACATGATATCTCAGTGGCATTTAACTCCTCATTAGTACAAAAGTTGATTCTATAGCCTACGATGGTTCATTTCTATTCCATTCAAATTAACAAATATTTTTGGTCACCTTACGTATGTGAAATATTGTAGAGAACACAGACAGACTTGTACCCTCAAAATGATACCTCACATTAACTGAGAACTTACCATGTACCAAAGCTGTCATAAGAATTCTACCATCTGAACTAATTTTATTCTTTATGAAACGAGCACTTGTATTAATTACTCCCATCTTACAGAGAAGGAGACTAAGGAAGATAGAGGCTAAGTAACTGTCTCAGCTCTTGTGGCTGAAGTGATAGAGGTAGGTAGTCTGCCACTATCATTCTGTCTGCCTCATGTTTATCACAAAGTTATTTTTGTGCCTGAAGACTAACCTGAGTGTGTGTTATTGGGCTCACTCACTAAGAAGGGAGGTCTAGGAAATAAGGCGACAGACACTCTGGAGCTCCAGGTTGATCCTGACGTGACAAAGCCAACTTGGCTCATGGTAACCCCTCATATCTGCCATGTTACTGACACAAGTTACAGAGTAGTGGGGCTGGCAAGTCTTGCCAACCAAACAAACATGCTGTCAACCCCAGGGCATGGCAGTTCAGCTGGGGCCAGGATGCTCTCCTGAACCTCCTCAGAGACTGCCAGCCCCAAACAGCCTAGTTAGAATGATGGATGGGTCCAACTAGTCACACAAATGAAAATACTGTCCATTTGAACCCCACACTGCTGCTGCTGCTTTCTGAGCCCCTTAGTAATTCATAAACCCAATTCCAATAAATAATAAAATGACTTTCAGCAGAAGGTTTGTTCACACTGTGCTGAAACTTGGGTGCACAAATAAGTAAATTCTCTTTCAAAGCTCATCAAAGTTCCTAGAAAACATTCACTGCATCAGCTCAGCCATTGCAGCCAATAAGCTTCAGGGAGCCCAATATTTAGAGGAACATGAAAATTTTCAGGTTGTTAGGAGGCATTTTAACAGGCAGCTTCCCAACTGGTGGGCAGTGTCCATAGATACAAAAATGGAAGTTTTCTTTTTCATGTAGTCAGAGCTCAATAGATAATAACTAAATAAATGATCAGTGATTGTAGTGCCTGGTGAGTTCACTGATATCTATTTAATTCATTGTTAAAAATTTTGCATTTACGATAAAAACAATACTATCATAGTTCTAGGAGGGAAGTAAATAATTTAAAAATGCAGTTGAATATAGAATTGTGCATCTTGAATCCTGGTATTAAGGAAAACAGGTTTAGTTGCTCAAGAACAGGAGGTAGAGGAAGACTAGCAGAGAGGACCGCGGAACTGTGGGCACTTGAGTTGGATGCTTCAGAAGTACATGGCACTAAGTTTTTGAAAAGGTATTTAATTGGGCAGTATTTCAAATATTGAAAGTTTAAACAATAGTCCAATCAGCATCCATAAACTCACCATCTAGTTTCATCAAATGTTAACATTTTGATGGCATTTTTTGTTATCTATTTTTATTATACATTTTCAAATATATGTCTTAAAAAGTATCTTAATTGAGAAATGATTAAATAAATCAAAATTTATATTGGGATATTATGCAGTTATTTAAAAATCATGATTGAGAGACTTCATTTAGTGTGGAAATTTCCAATTAGGATACGAAATCACACGTGTAATAGAATATAGCCCTGGCCGGTTTGGCTCAGCGGTTAGAGTGTCGGCCTGCGGTACAGAGAGACCCGGTTTGGTTCCCGCTAAGGGCAAGTACCTCGGTTGCAGTTTGTCCCTGGCCCTGGTTGGTCGTGCAGGTGGCAACCACTCCATGTGTCCCTTCACATCGATGTTTCTCTCTCTCTCTCTTCCTCTCTCTCCCTCCCGCTCTGTGTGAACAAAAAATGCAAAAATGTTCTCGGGTGAGGATAAAAAAAAAAAGAATATAGATATATGCAAATAAAATATAGATGTATGCAAATAAAAAATGAAATATACTATAGCAGTGGTTATTTATCTTTGGGTGGTGGAATTATGGGTTACTTTGGATTATGGAATATGTTTTCCTTTTTACACTTTCTTATGTTTCCCATAATTTCTTCAAAATTATTTCATATTTTTTAAAAATAAGTAATTTTTTTCCCAAAGCAAAAATAAATACATTTTTTAAACATGTCATTAACATGGTTCTTCTGCACAGTGGCTGTGGTAAGGGTAACATTTTGGCTTCCATATGCGAGACTAAAAGGAGAGCATGGGGGATAGAAAGAAAAGTGATTTCAGTCTGTTAACTCAGGGCTGGCCGAGGGCACATTTCCGTTCACCTCTCTTCCAGTGGAATGGCCCACTCATTTTGGGGAGCTCTGCCCACATCTCCTCCTACCTCCTGGCATGTCAGCAGGCATCTGCCTGTCTCTCCCTCCCAGTGAAGTGGAGTATTTATCTTCTCCCGCCAGCACCCAGCATAGTGCCCAGACCCTCCGCGTGCCCCCTGATGGAGCGCCACACACTCACCGCGTAGACAGGGAAGAGTTCCTGCGCGTTCAGGTTCCACTCGTTGACATGGGAGCCGATCTGGACCCCCGGGAAGCCCAGCTCTTTCACACAGCGCTCTATCTCCTTGACAGCCAGCTCGGGGGCCTGCATGGGCAATGTCCCCAGACCCACGAACCTCCTGGGGTGCCTCCGTACAGTAGCAGCTAAGTCGTCGTTTAAAAACTGGCACAGGTCTAAAGTGTCCTGAGGTTTGGCCTAGTGGAGACAGGTAAGGGGAAACCACATCATTCAAACCTCCTTTAGCTATTTCCTGTACTCTGAACAACATCTCCCCTAGGTGAAATCACTAGTCACTATCAGCAGCTTTCCCTGCAGAAGGCCGAGGCACAGATTGAGACAGGCACTCGCTGCAGAAGACCAGAAGCCAGTCATTGCAAATGCAAAGAAAACTGCTGATTAATTAGAAACAGCGGAACTCTAATCTGAAGGGACAGACAGTTACTGGGCCTGGCATCCCCACCCACTGCAGAAAGGAGCCTGCAGACTGCACACACAGGCACCCTTCCCCACGCGCAGGAGGCTGGGCCTGGCAAGGGCCTGAAGTCACCAGGGCACCTCCTTGCCTTGCCTCGTTGTGAGATGTCAGGATGTTCTACACCTCTCCTGTCCTGGCTCATTCCCCTCCTTCTCCTTCCTGTTGGCAGTGACACTCACAGTTTCCCTAGCAAAATGCTGATGCAGATGAAGTTTGCTTTCTGTTCCCCTAACTCTTTCTTCTTCATTCTTTTCTTTCTTTTCAACATCATCTTACGGCACTGCCAGGAAAATTGGTATTCTCCTATAATCCCAGTTGTCTAGTCAGAATGATACCCAATCTGATAAATTTAGACATATTGAGGTCTTAAGGACATTTTTAAAGTCATGAACCTAATCGTAGGAACAGATAGAGACCGAATCACTAGGATTGGAACTATGAGCACTGGTGGGGAAAGTATGTGTGAGCAGGTGGTATTTCCATTGCTCCTTAAATCACAACGCGAGTGAATATGTACATGTTTGAGCAGGTGCTTAGTGTACCCCCAACTGAGTACAAAGATGTCCTTCCACAGGCTCCCAATCACGCCTGAAACTTTTAGCACTCAACAGACACTTAATTACTTGGGGAAAGCATCCAACTCCAGGAATCCCATTTTCAATTGTACATTTCCCTGGGAGAGGCTAAGTATTAGGCCATTATTATCATTCTCACCTCAAAATCATTGTCACCTCAGAATAAACGGGCTTGTTAATTACTGAGTAAGGCACTGCTCAGATGAGTCATCAGATAGGTAAGTCCAGTGGAAATATAATGGAGTCTCATAGCAATGTGCAGTTGCTGGACCATGTGGGTCTAGAGCAAGAACAGGGCTAAGAAGACAGGCGTGGAAGGGCACACTGCAGTGTGGGAGGCCGAGGGACCCCACTGATCTCTACAGGGGAGAAGTGGAGAGGAGTAGGGGCAATGTCAAGAATTGAGTCATCTACCTACTTGCCAGACATGAGCCTATGCCCACCAAGGAGATGGTTTGAAGTTTCACACTCACCCAGTAGCTAAACATGACAGGAACCGTGGAAAGGGCCTGCACGGTCACTCCTAGACACAGACACAAAGGAAGGCAAAGCTGATAAGAAGAACAGTCCAGACACTCCTTTGTATTTCCTAGGGCCAAGGAGCCCAGCAAGTGTCCACTCCATTCTCGGCCTGCTCTCTCCTTCCTGGCTGCTCCTCCCTGTCTACTCTCTCTCGGGTTCTCTGTCCTAGGCCTCCCTCATCCCTCAGTCTTTGGGTCTAGGGGGAGGGGTAAAAGCTGGACAAAAATGAAATCATTTAAGAAGAACTAATTGACCCTCTTTGTCAAGAGTTATTTCTACCCTCCTTTTTGTGAAGGTCTATTTAAGTAAGAAATTTCTCCACCAATTTTGTCAGGGCTTTTCATCTTAGATTATGCATGACAGTGTATTTCCCTGCCACCTTCCCCACCCCTTCAGTTCAGCTCCTGAGTGGGTCTAGGTCCCACTTTCTGGAATGTCCAGAATGGGACCCTGGATTTGGCTCCCCTTTTCCTCATACTCACATCCAACCCACCAGCATGACCTGTTAGCTCTACTCCAGTTCCTTTCATCCACCCATGTGTCCCCATCCCCTGCTACTGCCTAATGCAGGCCACCAGCACTTCCTACAGCATTTCCTACGTGGATCCCTGCAGAATCCTCTGAGCTGGTCTCCTCCCACCATTCCTGTCCTCTCCCGGGTTGTTCTCCATCCAGAAATCAGAGTAAGGCGTTAAAACTTAGATCAAGTAATTTCCTTGCTGAAAACCTCAAGGACTTTCCATCATACTGGGGTAAAAATTCGTATGTGAACATGGTCTACAATGCCCCATACAGTCTCTCTTGGAGCTACATAATCTTTGTTGGTTTCCTGCCTGTTCTTTAGAATTCTTTTTGCCCCAGAACCTTTGTATTACTGTTCCATCTGCCTGAAATGTTTTTCTTTTGGCTATTCACAGGATGGGCTCCTTTTTAATCTACGGTCTCAGTTCAAGTGCCACCTCCTCAGAGAGGCCTCCCTCCTACTCCAGCCATTATTCATCCCCTTGTTCTATTCCTTTCCCTTTCTAATACTTACTACAGCCCGTCATGTCTGAGTTTGTTTATTCTGTGCCTTCCCTTACTTGAACGTAAACACCACATGAGCCTGTCTCTCATGCCATATCACCAGTACCCTGAGTGGTGCCTGGCACACTGAACATACCCAGTAAATGAAAGACTACAGCTTTTGATATGAGTATTGTTAATTATTGTCACAGATATTATTTACATTTATGGACTAGTATCAAACAGATGAGTACTTTTCAATTGTAAACTCCTTTACATTTTAGGTAAATACTTTCACTTACATTACTCTATTTCACTTCTCTATTTTATAGATTAGATCTAAGGTCACATGTTTTGAAAGTGGTGCAATGAGGCTCCTGTCCAGCCTTGATCCTTCCCTACATCTTAGTGGCCATTACATGTCACAATATTTCATACTGACATAGGAAATTGTATTATTTGTGTGTTGGTTGGTTTGGACACATATTCTTTGGTCTCAGAATTGTCAATGTAAGAAACATTCAGCCCGGCCAGTGTGGCTCAGTGGTTGAGCATTGACTCATGCACTAAGAGGTCACTGGTTCGATTCCTGGTCAGGGCACATGCCTGGGTTGTGGGCCTGATCCCCAGTTGGGTGCATGCAGGAGGCGGCCCATCGATGTTGTCTCTCATCGATGTTTCTATCTCTCTCTCCCTTGCCCTTACTCTCTCTCTAAAAAAATCAATAAAGAAAAAAAAATTAAAAAAAAAAAAGAAACATTCAAACCTATAGAGAATTTTTGTGTTTATTTGAGCCAAACTGTCAACAATTGTTGGGAAGCAAAATCTCAACAGACTGAGATAATGCTCCAGAGAATGGCAGTTATGCACCTTATTTTATTTTTTTAAGAAGCTTTATTGATTTTTTTTTTTTTTAGAGAGAGAGGAAGGGAGAGAGAGATAGAAACATCAATGTGAGAGAGATATGTTGATCGGCTGGCTCCTTCTTGCACCCCCCCACCAGGGATTGAGCCTGAAACCTGGGAATGTGCCCTGACTGGGAATCCAACCAGGACCTCAGTCCATGGGACAACGTCCATGGGAGCCACACCGGCTGGGCTGCACCTTATTTTATACATTATAATCAAAAGAGAAGACACAAGTGAGTTACATGAAATCCACTGGTGATAGATTAGGGAGGCGGGAGAAAGCAAAGTGGGGAAACCTTTAGGATTGGATGAAGAATTAAATGATAGACACATACATCTTTTACATAGGTGGCTACAGGGTAGTTAACAGTCAACAATTAAGTTAATAACAATGAGGGGATTAGTGGTCTCCGCAGAGTGGTGCCTGTGCTTTGAGGGGTCCAGAAAAAGGAAATATTACTTTGACATTCTAAAGATATGTTATCACAGATGCAAAAAGATAATAGACAGGCTCAGTTAAGGTAAAGATAGACCTTTGTCACAGAAAATGCTGGCCTAGGACATGACTACCTGCCATAAACTTTTAGTTAAAAAATTTTAATTTCAGGCCATTGTTTGTGGTTACTTTAGTTCTCTGAGTTTACGAGGCCCCGTGCTGGCCTCCCCTGAGCTTGTCAGGTTCGCACACGGCCCCATTCCATTAACAGAACTAAAGGGTGGGGGGCAAACTAATCCAATTAGAATTTATATTCTTTCTATCCAGAGTGGTTAACAGTATGACATAGCATATAGTTTATACAGCTTACGTGTTGATTAAAATTGGGGTGGGGGGGCAGAATATTTAAAAAACAAATTCCTGCCCTGGCCAGTTTGGCTCAGCAGTTAGCACGCCGGCCCACAGACCAAAGAGTCCCAGGTTCGGTTCCCGCTAAGGGCATGTACCTCAGTTGCAGTTTGTCCCTGGCCCCGGTTGGGGTTGTGTGGGTGGCAGCCAGTAGATGTGTCCCTCTCACGTCGATCTCTCTCTCTCTCTCTCTTCCCCTCTCTCTCCCTTCTGCTGTATCTGAAGATAAATGCAAAAATGTCCTCGAGTGAGGATAAAAAAAAAAATTCCTTGGCCCACCCTTGGAAATTCTTATTTAGTGGATGGGACCTGAAAAAATTTCACCAGCAGCACAGGCAATCCTTACCCTGCGGGAGATTTGGGGAAAGCTTTTGTGGTGGAATGAGAAAGACAGTCCTAAATACAGTCTGGGCTCTGCCTTACTAGCTGTGTGGTCACGGCAAATCCGCAAGCCTCCTTGCCCCCTTGGGTAGCACTGGGTACCACAGTGCCTGGCATTTTGGGTGTCGAGAGAGGACGACATGTGAGCAGGTATGTGAAACACCATCCCTCAGACGCCTGCGGCGCCTCTTAGCCTCCTGCAGCATAAAGGACGGAGCTGCCACCCCAGCCCTCACTAGGCCCAGATGCCTCACCAATTCTGACCTTTCTGGGTCTGTTCCCAAACCAGCTTCAATAGGAACCCAACTTAGTTGAGGACTTAGGAGATGCTTATGTGTATATCACCTGCTTGTTACTATTTTAGTCTTTCTTAGTTAGCTCTGTGTTGGATCTTGCGATGAAGTGCCGCAGGGGCTACCAGTGTCATTTCCCTCCCTGTGAAGATGGCATGGATTGCTGGAATCTTCTGTGTTGGGCCTTCATCATTTTATTTTCTTACCTCCGCAGAGCTGGGAGGATATAGTGGTTAAGCCCTTGGGGCCAGACTATCCGGGGTTCAAATCCTGGTTCTGACCCTTACAAACTGTGATCTTGGGCAAGTTATTTAACCTCTATTCTTTAGTTTCTTCATCTGTAAAATGGGCATAATAATAAATGCTACCTCCTAGGGTGGTTCTAAGTATTAAGTGAATTAATACATGTTAAGTGCTAAGAAAAGTGCGTGGCACAGAGTAAATGCTTGACTGTTCTCTCAAAGAGTGAAACACACAGCAAAACCAGCGGAGACGCCCTTCATCTAAAGCAGCACCAGTCATCCGAGTCTTCTTTCCACTAGTTTTCTGCTCGAAAGAGGGGGAGGATCCTTGCTCGAGGTCACACTTAGAGTAAAACCTTGCTCTTTGCTGTAGGCTTGAGAAGCTTGTTCTTTGTCGAGCCCCCCTCCCACCCACTATACTTCTAGACCAGGGTCGTATACACTGTGCTCTCTGGAATGGTTTGCAGAGATCTTCAGGCTTTCTGCAAAGTTCAATTTGAACGCTATTTAAATATATACTTTTAATTATTAAAAATAAAAAAAAACTATGGAGAAATTCCTGGCCCAAAGTATCCTGGACCAAATTCTGACATGCCAGAGATCACCTCCTCATCTGAGGCTGACAGGTTCACTCATTTTGTGCAGAGTTTGGAATAAAATGTCTCCTGCCATCTCCGCATATATATTTTAACTTCTAATACTTTTATCTTTGATTAAGAACATGGTAGTACTAAGCTGCTCTTTCATTTGTGGGTATGAAGTGTTTGTTTTCTGTTTAAATCTAGACCACTGAGGTTGAAATTTAGGCCTGCCAGTGTTGTGGTGGTGGGTTCCCCAGGGCACGGCCCACGCGTGTGCAGAAGGCTCAGTGCCTTTGGCGTGAGCATCCTTGGGTGACAGTCAGCCAGGAAGTAACAAGTGAAAGCACAGCATGGCCATCATACCATATCTTAGATTCCTTAAAATTCTTTTCAATTGTGGGGACTTGTTCACCTATTTTTTTTCGGTACGTGCCCCTAGTGGAAATCGAACCCGGGACTCTCTGGTCCGCAGGCTGACTGACACTCCAACCACTGAGCCAAACTGCCCAGGGTTTGTTCACTTTTTAAATATAAAATAAGGAATGCAAAGTGGTTTTTAGAAATTGCTACTGATTCAGCTTTGAAACAAAACTTTTCCAATTCTCCTCTTTCAAATTTCTGAATTAGTCTCAGTGCAGATGTTCTGAGGCTACACTGTTAACTTTCTTTTTAACTGCTCTGTTTCCACGCCTGATGTGTCAGGAGGGACGTTCTGTGTACTGTGCACTGAAACAGAGTGTAGGAATC